TATTAGACACCAAAATGTTTCAGCTTCATGTTTTATCCTAAAATACTGAGTGTGACAATAATAATAAATAAATAAAACTGTAATAACTGTAAAATGCCGACTATAATGAAAACTAACTATTCAGGTTTGTTATATTGTTGAACCCCAAAACATGTTCATGTTTGAGAGAAAACTGAGAGAAACTGCTGCCAGAAACCATATTGATGTAAATGTAAAAGTGTTTCCATGGCAGCCGCTGTGCAGGTGGTTTCTGGATGCCTACAGCAGTAAACCTCTTCCTCCATCAAGCATGCTGACGCTGCTCTGTGCAGTTTGCAGTACCTGCTGCTTTGAGTCTGTAGCTGTGGTTTAATATACATCTTTTTGTTTTGTTTTCTGCACTGAAGCCGGGCATGTATTGGTAAGCCACAACAAAAGCGGAGCAAATCAAGTTTTCCATCTCCCCCCATGTTTGAAACCCACAGAACCACACGAGGAGCATGAGAGAGCAAAATTTAATCAATGCCACAGAGATACCCCCGACCCCACGCTGCGTGGGAACAGGAGCAGGACAAATGCAAATAAATACCACAAAACATCTGGAAGTTTTTAATGTTACATAGAAATATCCCTATTTTACATTATTTATATAAATATTTCACATTGCTGATTTTGCATCAAAATGCAAATTATGAATCACGGGTCCAACAACAGGAGATTAAGACATAAAATATATTTAATAAAATATCTGTAACATGTGGATGTCCTCTGGTCTGAGGTGCTGGGGGGACCAGTTAGAGACCAGCAGCTGGACATCAGTGGTTGGACTGGTGGACTACTTCAGTGAAGAGTAGACGACGTCTGACTCTGGTTTAAAGTCTGAACACAAACAGTTGAAACAACAGGAAACATGATTAATGATCAGTAATGAGCTCATCAGCTTCACTGAATGACATTTAAATATAAACTGACAGATTTTATCAGACAGGAGGAGCAGCGACGCTTCAAAACAGGAACCAGCTCAAGAGTCTGCCGCCTGTTTGCAACTCAGCAAGATTTCCAGGGGAAACGGTGTAATCCTCACATGAAACACAGAAATAGTTTCCACACCATCATCTGAGGCATCGCTGTTTTTTTTTTACTGTTTTACACTGCTTTAACTTTTTTACCAACTGAAACAAACTTTAAGCGTCAAATGATCAACGTCCCTATTTAGTCTGTAGGTCTGTGGTGACAAAATTAGCAGTTTGACACTAAAAGCTGAGGCTACATGTTGTCGACAGTGTACCAGGATGGTCCACTGGTAACTAGATGTGTTGTTGATTTATGTTTTTCATGAAATATCCTGCAAAACAGACTTAAGTATCCATATATACTCTATGCTGCCCTGTACACAGCAGGCTGTGGTGTTCATGTAGGTTGCAGCAAAGGCTGTAGGCATCGATCTAAATTCAAGGTGATGATGTTCACTCAGTAAATTCTACC